GTTCCTGAAAATAATCTTTTAAATTCCTGACCAATAATAATCAAGGTGCCTTCTGTTTTCCAAAACAACCTTTAAGTATTTCCAAATATTGTACTGTTCCAAGAAGCTGGGCTTTATGAGGAGAATTGTGGCATCAGGATTGGTGGAAGATCTATTAACAATCTGCGTTATGCAGATGACACAACCCTGCTTGCTGAAACTGAGGAGGACCTCATGCACTTGCTTCAAAGGGTCAAGGACTGCAGCCTTCAGTATGGACTAAGGCTCAATGTCAAGAAGACAAAGATTCTCGCCACTGGACCAATTGGCAGCGTCAGGAGGGATGACGAAGAGATTGAGAGTGTTCACAGCTTCAGTTTGCTCGGCTCCACGGTCAACACACTTGGCACCAGCAGTCAGGAAATCAAAAAGCGTATCGTGATGGGAAAGTCTGCTGTTAGGGACCTCTCTAAGGTACTCAGGAGCAACAGTGTCTCTATAGAGACTAAGGTGCGCCTGATACAGGCCATGGTATTTGCAATCGCTTGTTATGCATCAGAGAGTTGGATAATGACTAGGGAGGACAGAAGGAGAGTGGATGCTTTTGAGCTGTGGTGCTGGAGAAGGGTACTGAATGTACCATGGACTGCCAGGAAAACAAACAGATTCATCTTGGAGAGGATTAAACCAAGCTACTCCTTGGAGGCAAGGATTCTGGGGCTTCGTCTGACATACTTTGGACATGTTGCCAGGAGGGACGGGTCCTTGGAGAGGGACATCATGCTTGGGAGGGTGGAGGGACAGCGCAGGAGGGGAAGACCCTCTATGAGATGGACTGATTCAGGGACTGGGGTAATCGGGATGGGTGTGTCAGAGGCGGTGCGGTTGGCGCAGGATAGAGCAGGGTTTAGGGCTCTTGTACATAGGGTCGCTATGAGTCGGAAACGACTCGACGGCACATAACAACAACAACATATTGGTTTGTGCTGAGTGAGTTCATCCCTTTTGATTTTCTGACTCCAGCTTTTTGCACCTTTCCAACTGGCACAGGAGGAGATTGCCCCTCCTTCTCCAGCAGAGCATCTGGTGGATTCAAAGCGTGCCTTCGGGATTGCAGCGCAGCTTCTTTCCACTAGGCCACCAGAGCTCCCGTGTACTGGTCTTATTGTTAAGTGCCATGTGGTCAACTACTACTCATAAGGCTCCTGTGAGGAGATCTAAACCTTATACTATCTTGTACCATCCTCACAATTTCCACCATGCTTAAACCCATTGTTGCAGTCAGTGTTAGCCCATCTCCTTGTGAGTCATCTTCTCATTCATGGACCCTCTACTTTTTCAATCATGATGTCGTTTTCCAAACACTGACCCCTCCTGACAACATGTGCAAAGTATGTAAGATTAAGTTTCACCACCCTTGTCTCCAAGGAGCACCCTGGTTACCGTTCCTCCAAGACAGACCCCTTTGTTCCTCTGGCAGTCCATGGGATATTCTGTACTCTTCAACTGTACTCTTCAACACAATTCAAAGGCGTCGGTTCTTCTTCTGTCATCCTTATTTCTTGTCCAAGTGAAAGTATCATGACTTGCATCAAGGGCAGCTTCATCTTTACCCTGACATTCTATTACTCTAAAGCACTTTGAAGAAGTCCTTGACAGCAGATATTCCCCATGCAACATGTCTTTTCTTTTCTTTCTTTTTTTTTTTTTTTGTCTTTTGATTTCTTGACTGCTGATACCATGATGAAATCATTGACAACTTCAATCTTGTCTCCATCTACCATGTGTTGCCTATTGGTCTAGTAGTGAAAATGTTTGTTTTTTTTTTTAATGTTCAGATGTAACCCATATTGAAGACTTTTTTGTCTTTGACCTTCTGCAGAAAGTGTTTCAAGTTATCTTCAATTTCTGAAGACATGGTTGTATCAGCTGCGTAACATAGAATTTTAGTAAGCCTTCTTTTAATACTAATGTCACATTCTTCTTCATATGAATCACCGCCTTGAATTATTTTCTCAGCATTACAGACTGAATAAGTGTGGAGAAAGGACACAATCCTGATGCACACCTTTCCTGATTTTAAGCCATGCAGTGTTCCTTCTTCCATTTGGACAATTGCTTCTTTGCCTATGTCTAAGCTTCTCATGAGCACAAGGTGGTGTTCTGAGCTTCTCATTCTTCTCAATGTTATCCATAATTTGCTTTTATCACTGTGATGTCAAAGGTTTATTATTCCAAATTCTTTTCCTAGCCAATGACTTTGACTTTGCCATGATGCAAATGTTGTTGTTGTGAGGTGCTGTTGAGTCGTAGATGACTCATAGCAAGACCCTTTGAACAAAAGGCCTGAAAACTGTTCATCGAGTTTCCAGAGACAAGCCATTTCAGAAGTGGATGCAACCCCTGCTTCCAAGCTTGTTTTAATTGGGAAGCTCCAGCAAACACTGTCCACCATGGGTAACCATTATCACATTTGGCACATCAGTGTCACAGTGTTCAGATGATGCAGATAGGGCATGTTAATCTAGCCACAAGGGAATTGGCTATCTCATCATTAAACTGAACAGATTCAGCAGCAGAATTTGAGAATCTTACCACCAGCAAAGAAGAGAGAGAATGAGAATACCAAGTGTGCATCCTTGTGGGCCCAAGATTCCTGTGCTACTCGGACAAGCAGAGACCCAGAGACCTATCATGAAACAGAGCTGACCTTGGGACTCATACTCTACAGAACCAGAGCTAGGAGCCTTCACCTAAGTTTGTTGGAGGACTAACGGGGAGAGCAAGAATTGTCCAGACTAAGAACTTTGTAACACTGGCTTACAGGTGCAAGGATGAAAGCTGGGGAACCCCTGAGCACATTTCAGCTGCTGTCCTGACTGATTGTTGTTGTTGTTAAGTGCCATCAATTGATTGTACCCACCTCAGTTACAGTCTTTTGACTTCCCTAATAAACCCCATTAATTGTATGTTTTCGTGTGCCGTATAAGCTATTGCAACAGATTTTGGACCCAGTAGAGCAGTAAGATTAGTGCTGATTCCAGTAGAAAGAGGTGCAGAAGTGTGAAGGACATGTCTGACCTCATGGAAGCTCTTGTTCTTTTTACAATCACCCAGTCAATGCCTTTGTATGGTCAATGTAAAAAAAAAGTATTCATCTTTTGATACATTCTGCTTCCATCCAATATCCATCTGGAACTGGCAGTAATATGGCTAATTTCACAGCCTCTTCTGTTTTAGGAAAAATTTGAAGTTATACTACACAGAGATCCTCAAGGAACGCCAGGCCGACAAAAGTTGAAAGGACAAGGACTTCTCTCCATAGTCAAGAGAGAAAATCTTCCCCTAGATCCCACTCCCTGGAGCTCTCATGGAGCAGTAGGTAGGGGGTTGTGTTGCCAACTCAAAGATGGCACTTCTCTGGTGATTTAAATCCACCAGCAATTCTCTATGAGATAGATGAGTGATCTCCTATGGGATTTATGCATTCAAAACACCTGTTGGAGGGGCAGCTAAGAGTTTGTTCTGACTTGACAGCATGAGTTTTATAGCTTTTTACACAGGAGAGAATACATTTATTTTATAGTAGCATTAAATAGTTAATGATGGCCTCACATTGTAATAAGATGTAATTCCCCTCAAGCTGCTCACTCCCATTTTTGCACCTGATTCACTTTCTCTTCCTTTAATCCTGGGAACGAAGCTGAAGGCTAAACTCTCTGTTTCCTGTGTTCTTCATAATGTTGCTGCTTACATGTCCTTTCCCTCTATGGCCTAGAGAACTGTTAACAACTAGAACATTCAGAAGCCTATGGTACACAAACCTGGATGGCATTTGTTGAAAATTCAACAGTAAACTCTGGAAAACCATGATAAACACAACCTGGGAACTTTCTGAAAGAAGGAATAAAATGAACTTATGAAAACACAAACTTTCACACATAATGCAATTAAGATATGCTTTTTGCATAGGAGCTCTGATGTCACAGTCCACTCCATGTTGCACTGCTAACTAAAAATATACTTTTTTGTTTAGAAAAATAAAAATATACTATAAATACTGTTTTAGAGCCTAAAACTTAAGAGCACATGATTTGCAGATTTACCCTTTTAACTACTATAGTTCCTTCCACAGCTTCATCTTGCTTGGATCCATAATTAGCATCCTTGGTACCAGCGATTAGGAAATAAGCATTGCACTGGGAAAATCTGCAGTTAGGGACCTTTCCCAAGTATTGAGTATTAATGAAGTCAGTTTGAGGACTAAGGTGCATCTGATCCAGGCCACAGTATTTCCAATCACTTGCTATGCATTTGAGAGTGGACAATGAATAGGGATGACAGCAAAAGAATTAACACCTTTGAGCTGTGGTGTTGTAGAGGAATACTGAACATCCCAGAGAACAAACATATGTCTTGGAGAGGGTGCAGCCAAAGTGTCTTCGGAACCAAGAATGATGACGCTTTGCCTCACATACTTTGAACATGTTGCTAGGAGGGGTTATTCCTTGAAGAGGTACATGATGCTGGGAAGAGGGTCAGTGAAGGAGAGGAAGACCTTCAACCAGGTGGATTGACATGGCGACTGCTGCAATGGGTTCTTGCGTGTCAGGAAGTGTGAGGATGGCTCAGGATAGAACAAGGTTCAGATTTTTTGTTCATAGGGTCGCTATGAGTAGTACTCGACTCGAAGGCACCTAACAACAAACTATATAATCCATTTTCCCCCTAAAGTTAACACAAGACTGCTAAGGACAAAAGGAAGATTATTTTTCATCTTCCTAGGAAAATAGATACTAACTCACCTTCTCTTCATTCAAAAACATGGAAAAGAAAAATCCCTTCCTCTGGTTCCTGCAGACAGGAAAGCAACATTTCCAGTAGCTGGCACTGCAGTGTCCATAGGGAACTACAACTACCAGAGGGCTGTAGGATGCTGCCCCGCCAGACTCTCTCCAAAGACTCCATTTCCCAGAAATCCCAGTCCTGGGTCGAAGACGGCATTTCCCGGGCGCCCTCTCGCGGCACACACGCGCCGAGCTCCCGGCGGCCCTCGCGGCAGGTTCCGGGCGTCCGGGTAGTTCGTGATGGCGGGGACTGGTTCCGCTGCTGTGTCTGGAGCCGGGACGCCGGTAGCGGGGCCTGCAGGCCGTGACCTGTTCGCCGAGGGGCTTCTCGAGTTTCTGCAACCGGCTGTCCAACAGCTCGACTCTCACGTCCACGCAGTCAGGTGCTCGCGGTGGGCGGGACGGGGAGAGGGCGGGGCCGCCTCGCTGGAGCGCAGGTGGGACCGGGAGTCGTTCGTTTGGGGACATTGAGGCGGGGTGAGAACGGCGGAAGACCGCAGGTGGAAGGTTGAGTCTCGCTTTCCTCAGTTTAGAAACAGTGGAGGAGTTAGTTTCATGAGCTCGTTGCCTGACCTTGTCGGTGGATTTTGTCTCCCTTTGCAGAGAGAGTCAGGTAGAACTCCGGGAACAGATTGACAACCTAGCCACAGGTGAGCATCCTCCTGTGCTCGACATGTCCCATCATCCTCGCAGAGCTTCATCTTGCCCGCCTCTGCGCAGGGTCTCTTGCTTCTTGGATAGCAGGGCTGCCAGTGGACCAGGCTCCTTTTAGGGCTGTAGCCTATATGGGTCCAAGTGTTTCCCATCACTAGCCTACCTTCCCTGAGAACAGGTGAGCCACTGGGTGTCCCACCTTACTTCTGTCCCCAGAACTGTGTCGTATCAATGAGGATCAGAAAGTGGCCCTGGATCTTGACCCCTACGTGAAGAAGTTACTTAATGCCCGGCGCCGAGTTGTCTTGGTCAACAACATTCTGCAGAATGCTCAGGTAGTAATGTTAGGTTTTTTGGTTTTGGTGCTTTGTGGGGTTTTTTTCCAACAAACTGATTATTTTTCAAAGGGTTCACTCAGGGTATTCAGCTTTACAAAGGATGTCATAAATGCAAGTCACTGTCATTTTAAAAACTCAGGAAGGTGTGTTACCTCTCATAAACCATAGTAAACTTTCCTAACTACCTAGTTGCTATCATTCACATTTACATAAGCACTTTTAAATGGACCTGTCTCAGTTTCTCAGCATCTGGTTGACAGTGACCTCTAAAGCCACTTAGGGAGCAGTTACAGATTCCAAATTGTGTTTTATAGGAGAGGCTGAGGCGGCTAAACCACAGTGTTGCTAAGGAGACAGCGCGGAGGAGAGCAATGCTGGATTCAGGAGTTTACCCTCCTGGTTCACCAAGCAAGTAACACGGGCCAGAAGATGGACGCAGGATCACAAGTACTGTTTGCAGCTGCCTTGTTTCAGCCACCATGAGAAGAGTCCAGGAGACACTTAATACCTGTAGACCTTGAGAGAGCAAAGTCTTATAGTTTGTATCTAAAACATGTTAAAAAAACAGACACTTGACTCATTTATGTGGAAAGCTGAAGAAACAGGTGAAGAAGACTCAAGCTACCAAAGGACTTGACTTACAGCTTTGCTCCCTCCCAGGAATGGACTGAGGCTTCTAACTACCTTCTCAAGACCCACCTCCTCTTTTTTCAGCAGGTTAACAAGGGTGAGGCTTCTCTGCTGTGTACCTGGCTTAGGGACCTGGGTAGTATGCCCTCTACCTATGACTTATTTTCCTTTGTTTATACCAAGGACTTGGAGAAGAAAACAGGCAAAGTCAAGGTGAACAATGCCTGTCTATACCTCTTTTGGTGATTGCAATGATTTGAATGTAGTAGCCATGTTGCTAGTACCATTTAATTCAATAAATGCTTCAATAACAGTCTAGATTATTTTGGTATCTGGAAAGGCTTCTGAGGAATATTTTTAATGTTTACAGTTGTAAAACCAGCAATTTTCAGTGTGTTAAAGCAAAAAAAAGGCTGTCAGTTGCCAAAGAAGAGCAAGACCAAGGGCCCTACTGGGTAGTACTTTAATAATTTTCTTTAGGAAAAAAAAATGTCCACATATTTAACAGCCCACAACATTTCAAAAACAAAGTACTGGTTAAAAGCCGTTTTCAGGAGTTAGGAATTCTAGAGTTAATAGGAAAAGTCTGTCTTGTTTCAATATGCATGGATGGCAAAGTCTTAATGATAATAGCTTAGCCATTATCAGAACCCAGTAGAATGACACTTCCTTCCATAGGATTAACTTCCTGTCTGCCATCTTCCCCTATCCCACAGAAATGCCACCAAGTAAATGCCCAGTAGCGGTCAGCTTAGGCTCCCAGTCTCCCCCCTTGAGTAAAAGGGGATGAAGAGAGGAAGGCTCACTCCTGGGTCTCCATACTTTCCTCTTCCTCCCCTTGAGGCGGTTCTTCTGTATTCTCCTCCTCCTCTTCTCCTTCTTTTTTCTCTGGTGGCTTCTCATAAGCTTTCTCTGATGGTGTCACTATCACTCCGTCCCAGGTTGATATTTCAGAAGCAAGATCTTAAAAAGAAAAAGTTTTAAGTAATTCAACCTTTACTTATGTAAATCATGACTTTTAGTAAATTAATACAGTTTCTTTGTACAACAGACTAAAGAGCCCATGATCCATGGGTTACTCACAGCTGGCATCACCCTCCTGGCCCAGGATCTTCCTGAAGCCTCCGTGTGAGAGGATTCGGACTAAAGTCTGTGCTGTATAGCAGACCATGTCCTAAAGGAGAGAAAAAGTGAGGGTGAATTTGTGATCAAAATCTTTGAGAGCCCCAAACCCTTCAGTCACTAAACACCACACTCCATTTTCTGACCAGAGATGTTAAAATACAGAATAGCTTAATAGGTATTCACTTAAGGCTGTTCAATACCTGCTGTTCCAGGGTCATGACTGTGTGTACTCTGAAGTTCCCACTCTCACATGGATCAGTGATACCTACTGAGCCTGGCAGAAACAGTCCTGCGGCCAGAATCTGTAAGCAACGCCTAAAATGTGATGAGAAGTATTACCAAAGGAAAGTACCAATCAAATCACAAGCATCCCAAACCCAAAGAAGTAGGCTGTACCTGTAGGCAACATTGAGGGCCAGGGGCTGTCTCGTGGGATTGTTCATGACAGCATAGTGTCCCTACAAAATAAGACACAAACAAGAGGTTTAACTCAATAAATACACATTTAATCAACATTCCAGGAATGTGATTAAATAGCAACCTTTCAACCATTACAGGATTACTTTTCACCAATGAGATTTCTTTTAGACTTCACCACATTTCAGATTCTGCTAGGTTTCAAAATTGTTAACAAAGGGGTTTGTCAAGAATTCCCTTGACTTACCAGCAGATCAAGAATCCAAGGTGTAAGGGGTTCAAAACCAGGAAAACGAATTCTCAAGTCTTTCAGCAGTCGAATGAGAACTTTGACTCTGAAGGTAAAAGAAACCCAAAGATTAAAAGACTCATATACTTCCATACAAACTGGTAGACCATTATGTCAGACTAAGTTTACTTAAGAAAAAAAGTCGAGACCACAGCCAAAGTGGCTATGTCAAAGGAAATCCAGGAGTAGCTTTTTACTGTAGTTCAGGAGAGGGACTCACGTGGACTGAGAAGCATTTTCCTCAAACCAGCGGGCATGCCTGATAGCTGCTAAGGCACTCTGCAACACTTTGATATCCACTAGAACACAAACATTCCCGTCATGAGCAAGCAATCCAATTACACCACCATAGTCCAAGAATCCCAAAGGATGCCTTGGTAACTTGGTTTCTCCTAAAGCGATTACATGTTCTACAGCCTAACCAATTACCTGTCTAAATCCCACCATTTCTTCCAAAAACATTCTAGCATATAAACCCAATTTTTTTGCAAAAGCCTATCTCTCCTGTATTATATACATTCTTAGCTCCTATTCTGGTTGTTTTCAAACTGCTATCACACCTATTCTGACTTTGAAAATTACTTTCCAAAGAGGAAAAATCACTTTAAGTTCAGGGTTAATTCCCAGAAAGTTTTGTGTGGAATACCAACAAAGCTAAGCAACCTAAACAGGAATGTTATATATCCTTTTAATACCCCCTAACAATGGAAAAATGGACTAACAGTGGAGTTCTGGATCCAGTTTTCGAAGATTGGGTGGCACTGTTGTAATGAGAATCTTCACTGTAGCATCAGAAGAACTGATTTCAAAGCCAGTTTCATTAGTCAGCATGGTCAAAACTGGAAAAGATAATCGTAACTGCACATTCCTATTAGGCGACAGTGGGGAAATGAAGTGGGATTTTAAAAACAGCAACAAAAATCTAGAATGGATGGGATCTGTAAAACATCTTAGGAGATCAACTAGATTTAACCAAAGTCCTTGCCAAGACATTACCCAACATATGTAGCCTGACTTGACTTTGTTAGAAGGGCATTTAATTATACTTATTGGTTCCTGTGGCCACGAGAATATAGCTTCAGTAACAAGCTCAAACCTTCAGAAGGATCCTGTGCTCTCAGGCTTTCCACAACTTTGTTCCCCAGAGCAGCAACAGCTTCCACTAGATGAGAGGAAAGCAGAGAATGTACATTAATCTGGTGGTGTATGTTACTGTTACGCTTATGTAGCGCTGTTATGTGTACTTTATCATAATAAAGTTGACTTTTTTTAAAAAAAATGAAGACTTTCTAAACATCTTTAAGCTACGTTGTTCACTTTTAGAAGGATAAACTAATGTTGGACATAGAATTTGGAGGGCTCAGGGAACAGACACTTGGCAGCCTCTTTTTCTAAAGCAGGATTTCCCATCAGCCGCACTCATGAGATTTGGGGTTGGATAATTCCTTTTTGTAGTTGGTGCTGTCTGTCCTGTGCATGACAGGATGTTTAGGGGCACCCTTGGCAGTTATGCTAGTTGCAACGACTATCCCTAGTTGTGACAACCATAATGTCTTCAGGCCAAATACTCTCTGGAAGGCAAAACTCCCCAGTTAAGAAACAATGCCTAATAGTAACTTTCTATTAAGAGTGTTCTAAATCACCCAGAGGCGCACAGTTCGAATCCACCAGATGTTCTGCCGGGAAGGAGGGACAATCTCCTCCTTTACCAGTCAGATCTGATTTGACGGTACACACACACACAAATAATAAGATAAAAATTTAAAAAAAAAAAAGTGTTCTAAATCAGTACTACTCATGGACTTAATCCAGATAGTGATGAATCCACAAACCATAATGAGTAAAATACAGAACTGTGGTAAGCACTTCAAAACTTTTATGGCAATCTCACTTTGCCATGGTGCCCAAATTTATCACTGGAGGTTCTGAATTATGTTTATCTTTCCAATCTCCAGCTTTTTACATAATATATGTCAGAATTTGTCCTTATAACGCTAGTGTTTGTTCTTTATCATTCCAACACACATTAAAATACGTATCTCATTTGTTATCCAAATATGCTTTCATTAAAAATTTGGACTTTGAAGATTACTAGGCCCTAAACCCAATACTGTGTTCTGCTCCCATAATCAGAATGAAGTGAACTCACATGTTGGCAGAATCTTTAGAATTACTACTAAGTCAGCCACATTGTGTCCTGTAGTCATTGTTCCCTTTTTATATGATCCTACTTGTCGGACTTCTTCAATTTGCTGTTGGAAAGGGATTTCAAAAGAAAATTTTATGTGTGAACTGCTAAAAACTAATTTGCTGTTTATCTTTCACTCAAATCATAACAAAAAGTTAAAATACACACACACACACACACACACACACACACACACAAACAAGTATCTGGTTCTTTTTAAACTCTATTACAACAGTTTAAGACCTATATTTTGCTGTATCAGAGGTCAAATCATAAGAAAACCTGATAAATCACAGCTAGCTGATAACAATGATGTGTATCATCCCCAGAACAGTACTACAAAGGACTCCCACTGTACTTTGCCATTTTAAGCTTGGATTTGGACAAAAGATAATGGAAGAATTCAGACAGGAGCAAGGAAATTTCCACGGTACCAAACTTGCCCTTTCCTGAACTAAACAAAAAACTCACCACTTCAAATGTCCCTGGGGCCACAATCAAATTGTCAATCACATTGTTTATTTTGGTCACCAGAGAAAGTATAGATGCCTGTAAAAGAACATGAAACAAAAATATTCTAAGGTGAAAGAACACTTTCTAAGCTTTTGTGTATTTCTCCCTAACACCATCTATAGAAGGTGAATCAATAGCAGTGTAAGGGATTTTAAAACAATGTCATGTATGAACTGCTGAATGGAAAACTACTTTGCTCTGTAATCTTTCACTAAAAATCAGGCTGTTGTTGGGTGACATCAAGTTGACTATGC